ACACCGAAGAGTGGGACGATGTGCTGATAAACTCATGGAAACCATTATTGTCTCAATTGTCTCATTTGACACTTGAAGACGAGATGGAACTCAATATTCTTCAGCTTTTGCCACAATTATCATCACTTGAATCCTTAGAATTGAGTCGTTTATATCATAGCAATGATTACACCGAAGAAATATTTGAATGTTTGCCACAAAGTATTCGTTGTCTTAGAACAGAAGATATGATCAAAAATGGATCACTGGATGTACTGATGAAGAGATGTCCGCATTTGGAAGCACTCACTATATCTGAAGGCAGAGGAACTGATTATAACGAAGAATTTGAGCGAAAGTTTCCCGAAATTTGCGGTCATTTTAAACTCAAGAGATTTGACTTTGAAGTGGACGACTTGCCGACCCATGTCTTCATTGACAACATCTCAAAACTCAATCAATTGACACATTTGTCTCTCATTTCAAACTTTGATTTCTATACAGAAGCCATGCAATCAATGCCTTCAGTCAAGTCATTGGTTTTGAATGGAGTGAACTGTTTGCCCGAAATGTTGACTAAATTGAGTCAAATATATCCAAACGTTGAGTACTTATGTCTGAATAGCGTTGGATTTGTCTGCGAGTGTATTGACAACTTTGAACACTCCGATGACGACGAAACGGATCCTCTGGAACTAGAGTTCACTTATTGTCGACAATGTGTTTACAAATGTATGCAATTTGTGTCACAATTACCACAACTCAAGCGATTGTCAATTGAGTTTGAATGTCAAGTATTTCCACTCGAAAACAACGATCTGAAACTTTTCATTGAATTGAATGCATTGTCTTTGACTGGCGGTCAATGGGAGGACGAATTGGCGGACTTTGTCTTATATTGTGTCGAAAACAGGGTTTCGAAGAAGAAGATGAGACTTAAGTTGAATCCACACAATGACGAAGACTTTATGGACTGTTTGAGTGAAAAGAATGTAACGATTCCTAAGAATATTGTGGTCAGTATTAAAGAACAATGTCTTCATTGGAAGTAATATTTGTTTGCTTTTTGTGATAATATTTGGATACAAGTTAACACAACTCTAATGTCATAAAAATACTGTATTTTGAGATATGATTTATTGATAACTTTGTGTTTGTCTTTGTTTTAAACCATTTTATTGTATAATTATATCAAAGTCTGTGAAATAATTATAAATTTGTTTTTACCGTATTACGTCACATAAACGCCCATGGGGTATTAAATGAGGGGTCTCTGACTCGGGTACACTTCAAAATAGCATGGGGTATTACCTAGGTAAGCCCCCACCCTCTCTAAGAAACTTACATAATATAGAGTCAACCAAAATTCTCGTCGGTGACCGAGACGTGCGCTCTTCGACTCCTAGATCTGATGCATTACTTTCATCTGAACGCCGCGCTCACCGTCGAGAACAACTCGTCTGAGTTCTTGTGGTCCGCTCTCTGGTGTCCATTACTTCAAGGTTTGAATGAAAAATGGCATAATGCAGTGTATTTGCGGGTACCCCATAATTTACTCCCCAGAGACTGAGCCCATGTGAAGTTTTATCGTACCCCATAATGGATCCATTCGGGGGTGGGAGAGATTCTTTGAATGTATTAACCCCATGGGTTGATATCTCATATTAATAGCAATAAATACATTGAGTTATCAAATTCAATGATTAATTATAGATTTCAATTAAAACAATAGCTATTTAAGACACATTTAATCATCTCTAATAATGTATTAGTATTTTAAAACACTACTATCTGTTTAATCACACTTTTCATTTTTTGAGTCAAAATAGCATGGGGTATTACCTTCAATTAAAACAATAGCTATTTAAGACACATTTAATCATCTCTAATAATGTATTAGTATTTTAAAACACTACTATCTGTTTAATCACACTTTTCATTTTTTGAGTCAAAATAGCATGGGGTATTACCTAGGTAAGCCCCCACCCTCTTTAAGAAACTTACATAATACCCCATGGGCGTTTATGTGACGTAATACGGTATAATGAAAAATAGTGATTAAAACAAGTGTTTTGAATGGTATAGGAATCGCTCTGTTCTGTTGCGACTCCCGACGTCCGGTGCGGACGTGTGCCCTCACATTCCTCCAGCGGGCGCTTCTTCTTCATGACCTGAAAGTGTTGTCGGCCTCGCAGTGGGAGAACTGCTTCAATAAAGTAAGTCTAGAATTATTTTAATTTTAATTAATATCACGTGAAATGCATTTTGCAATTTTAGGTTTTGTTCCCACTGTTGTCCAAACTCTTGGAACCGATCAATATGTGTGACCCGATCGGTATGGATGAGACCCGTATGCGCACCACAAACCTGCTCTGCAAAGTGTTTTTACAGCATTTAACGCCATTATTAACGTTGTCNCCCGATCGGTATGGATGAGACCCGTATGCGCACCACAAACCTGCTCTGCAAAGTGTTTTTACAGCATTTAACGCCATTATTAACGTTGTCTACATTCACGGCCTTATGGCTCACAATACTTGACTTTATGGACAAATACATGAGGGCTGACATGCAAACAGACCTTGTCGTACGTCAACCCCTCACTCATTATTATGTCAACTATTGATTGAATTTAATCTAAATTATCATCTCTTATAGAAGGAGGCGATTCCGGAGTCGCTGAAGAACATACTGCTGGTGATGGAAACGGCCGGTTGTTTCAACGACACGTTGGCCGCCATCACGTGGGACCGGATCGCCACGTTTTTGCCGCATTTACATCAGGATCTATTGCCGCCGCAGATCAACGCCAACGCAGAGGACAATACAAACAACACACAAACGGGTGTCGGCGGCGATGAGACCGCACCCCTCAGAAGCAATGAATTACCGCCCGTCGAGTCGCCGACACCACCGTTGCCACCGGCTGTTCCCCTCCCACCACAGCCACCGTACGAGCACTCGAATCAAATAACATCACAAACAGTTGATCCGAACGTAACGCCCGTACCAGCGGTTGGTCTGCATATGGCGGCCGTTCCCCCGTATCTTCAGACCGTTATTCCCAACTCGACGTTCATCGATATGGAAGAGGGACACAGACAACCGCTCTTCACGCCAGTGGTGGCCGCGCATCAACAGCCGGCCCCACAACCGGTGTATCACCCGATGCCCACATACCCGGGCACTATCGAGCCATTTGTTCCGCCGCCGACCGGCGTTCCCAATGCGCCGCCAACTGTGGCCACAGCACAGCAACAACACCCACACCATCCGCCCAACGCACAGGTACTCTCTGCCTACCCCTGGCCGGCGCCCAGCGATCAGAAAAATTACTAAATTATTATCAATATATTTAAGAGTTTATAAATTGATTAAAAATAATCTCTCACTTTCTCTATTCATGAGCAAATGTTTTTAAATTTTATAAAACATGATAAATAATTCCAGAAAATATTAAATTGTTATCAATTTCTTTTAAATAACACATAATTTATTAAATGTATTTTTTTAGTGAAATTTTGTGGTCATATTTATACACATTTTAACCTTTAAATTCTTGTTTAAGAGCGCAATAATAAAATGTTATATTTTGTTTCAAAAAGTGTAGTATTTGACTTTGTATTGCTTTTAATTTAATTAATTGTTTAAACGTTATAAACGATTGGACAGAAAGGATTGAATGGCCGGCAGATCGCGAGCCAACCATTCGCTGTTTAAACGTATGGTTTCGAGTGATTGTCTAACCGTTCGTTCGGTTCCCGGGAATGGATTGTCTGCGAAGAATGTCTCCACTTCTCTGGCCATCTCTTCGGTCACAAAGTTTTCCGTTATGTACTGTCCGTACGATTAAAATATAATTATTAAAAATTAAAAGTTACTATAATTATGGATTGACACAAACCTGAACTAATCTAAACATGAGTGGACCCGTTTCGTATCGACGCTTCAATAGATCGACATTTTGTTTGAAGAACTGCCACATAATGTCTTTGCCATTCTTCGTGAGCGCTACGGACGCCATTGCAATCACTGAATCATTGCTACGAACCTCATCCTAACCATCATATTATTACATATATTATTCAATTTAATAATTATAACAAATAGAATGTCTATACCTATTCAGCTCGTGAACACTCTATGCTAAGTGTAGAGATTGCCTGGGGTTTGGAGCGTTGTGAGCTTGAGAGAGAAGAACATCCAGACAGAGCGCTATATTGATATGTATGTTAGAATTAATTTATTTAAATTCAAATAAAATTTAGTTTACTTTTAATAATGATTCGTAAGTCTTATCGTCGCAATCGATAGCAACGGCCCGATAGACCGCTGTCTTAATGTCTGCGGGGATAACAAACGTCCCCTTAATGTGTGAATCAAACAATTTCTTTGATTCAGAGATAACTCTCTTGTCTTCGAGAGAAATCAAACGATTGATTATTAAACTTCTCAATAAAGTATCCAAATGTGTCTCTCCTTTGATTGGTTCCCATCCGAGTCTGTCGTATGTCTTCGACAACATTCAGAGATAACTCTCTTGTCTTCGAGAGAAATCAAACGATTGATTATTAAACTTCTCAATAAAGTATCCAAATGTGTCTCTCCTTTGATTGGTTCCCATCCGAGTCTGTCGTATGTCTTCGACAACAGTTGACAACCGAATCGATGGAAAAGGGAGTGAATGTCTGTGTGGGACACGAGTTGATTGAATTTTCCCAGACATTCATCAATAGAACTCCAAACGGCGTAATCGTCTTCAGCCGAAAATCTGTCCAAAAGTTTGAGTATATGTTCGGCAGACGTGAGGCCCGACTGAACCAAAGCAAACACATCGCTCTGAAGCCCCAAACGGTCTAAAGGCTGAAGAGTTTTGTTAGGCTGCCGGCCGTTATCGGCAAGGTCGTTAAGTAGCCTTATCACCTGTGCTATATATGGCTGTGATAAACCCAAGTTAAAATAGGTAAGTAACCGGCTATACAAACCCTAAAGTTAGAGTTCTGAAATTGAATCCATTAATCTTTCAACAAATGCTTTGGACTGATCTGAAGATCGGATCACAGATATAGGAATCATCCAAAGAGGACTCACTTCGGAGTCGGCCTTTCCGTCGGCATTGAATTTCTCTTGACTTAAGCTTAGAATCAATGAGTTTCCGTCGCGACGGGACTTAACCTTTCAATTGTTGTAAAAATTATTTATAATATTGATTCAATATTAATTTGAAAATTCAAAATACTAACTGTTATAACGGGATATCCTTTCTGTTTAGTCCACGTATTCATCACTTCTCTAACGGGTCTATCGCTGGCCTTTTGGAGTGAAGTCCAGAGATCTTCAGTAACAGTATTGCCGTATTTGTATTGATCGAGATATAAATGCAATCCTTTTCTAAAATACTAATTACAAATTTTAGGGATAATCTCTAAAAATCAATCAAATAATGAAAATAATTCATACCTCATCCCCGATATACCGGTGAAGCATTCTTAAGACAGCGGATCCCTTATTGTAGGATATTTTATCAAAAATTTCATTAATTTCCGACGGATGACCGACCGGTACTTCAATGGGGTGTGAGTTGTGGAGTGCGTCCAAATTGAGTGCCGCTAAATAGGTTTCGGAAACATATTGTGTCCAAATGTGATAATCACTGAACAGATGGTTAATACAGAGGTATGAGATAAATGTGGCGAAGCCTTCATTTAGCCATAGATCTGATAAATAAAATATTATTGATATTAATATACAGTATATCTATAACAACAATAACTATTGCCAAACCTGTCCACCAGTCCATTGTCACCAAATTACCGAACCATTGGTGAGCGATTTCGTGGGCTATTACTGTAGCAGTTGTTTGTTTACTTAGTGCTGAAGAATTGAGTGGATCCACAAGAATATATGTCTCCCGATATATAACTAACCCCCAGTTCTCCATCGCTCCGTAGGCAAAGTCACCGACGGCTAACATATCGAGTTTGAACAACGGGTACGGGATATCAAAGTAGTCCTCATAGTATGTCAACGATTTGATGGCCACATCCAGAGCGAAGACTCCCTGATCTTTCTTTCCCACCGGTGTATACACGCGAACAGTGTGTCCGTTGACTGTCTTTCCCTCAACGAAGTCAAACTCTCCGACGGCGTAAGCGATCAGATATGTCGACATTCGAGGAGTGGTCGGGAATTGTACTTCTGTGAGGTCTGAGTCGGCCAAAGGGATGACCGCCGATGAGTCCATGTTTGACAAAGCCTTCAAATGCTTCGGCACCACAAGACGGATGTCAAACGTGGCCTTAAGTGCCGGTTCGTCCCAACACGGGAACGCTCGCCGGGCGTCGGTTGGGGCGAATTGAGTGACCGCCGCATACCTGTCCTGTTGTCCGTCTGCGGCCGTGTATTTACTTCTGTAGAAACCTTTGAGTTTATCGTTAATAAAACCCGTGAATTCCAGTTTCAGTTCTCCCGACCCGAGGGGTAAAGTCTCTGTGAAGTCAATACAAGTCGTCTCAGTTTTGGCAGAGCTCTCGATCCGTACGGAAGTCAACGCTTGGGTCAGAAAAATGTGATCAAAGAATTAATTTGAATTTAAATACAAAATGTCTTTTAAATACTTTTGGCATCACTTGTGGTAAAAGTGGCGGAACTGATGTCAATGTCGAGTGAATTCAAGACAATCTGTTTGGTCTGTTCACTGACACCAACACTGATCTCTTCACTGCCAGCGAACGTAAAACTCTTGAGTTGTGGTCTAATAGTGATTACATAATGTCTTGGAGTGACGGCTAACGGCAGGCGTCGGAACTCGGCTTTGGATCCGTTGCTCATTGTGTCGGCAAAAGTGTTCAAATGTCTGAAACAATACCTGTTTTTTGGCAAAACTTTATAAAACTTTAAAATTAGATTCAATTTAATCATAAAATAATTGGTTTTAGTTTCCAATGCCTTAAAGTGTTATCAATTGAATCAATGGTGAGATATAATCACTGAATGTGTAATCAATTTAAGCGTTAATTCACTTAAATCTCGATATAATTGATAACAAAATCAATGAATACAATGAGTGACCGATTGTTTCACACAAACAAATGTTTGGCAATAATTGCTTCACAAATAACGCAAACATTGAAATGTGTGAAACGCCTGTGGGTTAGGCTTTACGTGCATTATAACTGTAATGTGGTTATACTGTATGTGCAGTGAAGCCAACTTTAAACTGTAACGATCGGGCATTTAATACGCGATCAGTTTAGCCGATGGACTGCCGGTCGACCACTAGAAGTGATCGTCTAATCAATTGTTGATTAACTTTGAAAACATCTCTAAAATATCAGTTCATTAAAATGCTAACCACTTATGAGTCAAATAATAATAGTTTTATTTTTTCCTTTTAATTAATTCATAAGAAATTAGAAATTTTTATAATATTTTTAAACAAAATTCATTTTTATATTTCATGTCATTTATAAACGATTGGATAGAAAGGATTGAATGGCCGGCAGATCGCGAGCCAACCATTCGCTGTTTAAACGTATTTTTTCAAGTGATTGCTTAACCGTTCGTTCGGTTCCCGGGAATGGATTGTCGGCGAAGAATGTCTCCAATTCTATGGCCTTCTCTTCGGTCACAAAGTTTTCCGTTATGTACTGTCAGAATGATTAGCATATAATCAATACATACTAAGAGATAATAAAGATATGGATTCACACAAACCTTAACCAATGAGCTGATGGCGACACCCGTTTCGTACCGACGTTTCAATAGATCGGCATTTTGTTTGAAGAACTGCCACACAATGTCTCTGCCATTCTTCGAGAACGACGCGGATGTGATGACAATCACTGAATCATTGCTCGCAACCTCTTCCTAGAAATCATTTTATTACATATTTTATTCAATTTAATAATTATAACAAATACTTACAGATATGGATAAGTCGAGCACTTGTTGGATACGATTCACATCTCTAACGGACCCCAAACCTCTCAATACCCGAACTCTCTCTTCTTTAAGGTCTGTCTCGCGATATAACTATACATACAATCAATGAATTGATTATTATTTAAATTCAAATTCAAATAAAATTAAGTTTACTTTTAATAATGAGTCGTAAGTCTTATCGTCGCAATCAATAGCAACGGCCCGATAGACAGCTGTCTTAAGGTCTGCGGGGATAACAAACGTCCCCTTAATGTGTGAATCAAACAATTTCTTGGACTCAGAGATAACTCTCTTGTCTTCGAGAGAAATCAAACGATTAATTATTAAACTTCTCAATAAAGTATCCAAATGTGTCTCTCCTTTGATTGGTTCCCATCCGAGTCTGTCGTATGTCTTCGACAACATGAGAAATCAAACGATTGATTATTAAACTTCTCAATAAAGTATCCAAATGTGTCTCTCCTTTGATTGGTTCCCATCCGAGTCTGTCGTATGTCTTCGACAACAGTTGACAACCGAATCGATGGAAAAGTGAGTGAATCTCTGTGTGGGACACGAGTTGATTGAATTTTCCCAGACATTCATCGATAGAACTCCAAACGGCGTAATCGTCTTCAGCCGAAAATCTGTCCAAAAGTTTGAGTATATGTTCGGCAGACGTGAGGCCCGACTGAACCAAAGCAAACACATCGCTCTGAAGACCCAAACGATCCAAAGGCTCAAGTGTTTTGCTCCCGACGGCCGGCAATAGCCGTTCCAGCAATTCATCGGAATAGTGGACACGATATATACCGACACTATTTGGGTTCAATTTTATCCATTCGTCGGCCGATATGTTTGGGATTTCAATCTCAAGACTTTTTGAATCCATTAGTCTTTCAATGAATGCTTTGGACGGATCTGAAGATCGGATCACAGATATAGGAATCATCCAAAGAGGGCTCACATCGGAGTCGGCCTTTCCGTCGGCATTGAATTTCTCTTGACTTAAGCTTAGAAACAATGAGTTTCCGTCGCGACGGGACTTAACCTTTCAATTGTTGTAATAATTAATGAATTAACGATTATTATTATTAAATTCAATATGACTTTAAAAATTCAAAATACTAACAGTTATAACGGGATATCCTTTCTGTTTAGTCCAAGTATTCATCACTTCTCTAACGGGTCTATCGCTGGCCTTTTGGAGTGAAGTCCAGAGATCGTCGGTCACAGTATTGCCGTATTTGTGTTGATCGAGATATAAATGCAATCCTTTTCTAAAATACTATTTACAATTTTTAAAAATTGTATTTGAATTCAATCAATGAACGCATACCTCATCTCCAATATACCGGTGAAGCATTCTTAAGACAGCGGATCCCTTATCGTAGGATATTCTGTCAAAAATTTCAATAATTTCCGACGGATGACCGACGGGTACTTCAATGGGATGTGAGTTGTGAAGTGCGTCCAAATTGAGTGCCGTTAAGTACTCGTCGGACACGAATTGAGTCCAAATGTGATACTCACTGAACAAATGGTTTACACATAAGTATGAGATAAATGTGGCGAAACCTTCTTTCAACCACAGATCTAATCCAAAAATAGGGATCATTTGTTAAAATATTCATCATAACAGCCATTATTGCCAAACCTGTCCACCAGTCCATTGTCACCAAATTACCGAACCATTGGTGAGCGATCTCGTGGGCTATTATTATCGCAGTTCTTTGTTTACTGAAAGTCGAGGTATTCAATGGGTCCACAAGAATACATGTCTCCCGATATGTGATTAGACCCCAGTTCTCCATCGCTCCGATCGGGAAGTCACTGACGGCTATCATATCGAGTTTGGACAACGGGTACGGGATATCAAAGTAGTCCTCATAGTATGTCAACGATTTGATGGCCACATCCAGAGCGAAGACTCCCTGATCTTTCTTTCCCACCGGTGTATACACGCGAACAGTGTGTCCGTTGACTGTCTTTCCCTCAACCAAATCAAACTCTCCGACGGCGTAAGCGATCAGATATGTCGACATCAGAGGAGTGGTCATAAACTCTATCTCAATGAGATCAGAGTCGGCGATCTCTTTGACTCTCAATGAATCCATATTTGACAGAGCCTTCACACCCGGCGGTACCACAAGACGGATGTCAAACGTGGCCTTAAGTGCCGGTTCGTCCCAACACGGAAACGCTCGCCGGGCTTCAGTCGCCTCGAAGTGAGTGACCGCCGCATACCTGTCCTGTTGTCCGTCTGCAGCCGTGTATTTACTTCTGTAGAAACCCTTCAGTTTATCGTTAATAAAACCCGTGAATTCCAGTTTCAATTCTCCCGACCCGAGGGGTAAAGTCTCTGCGAAGTCAATACAAGTCGTCTCCGTTTCTACTGAGCTCTCGATCCGTACGGAAGTCAACGCTTGGATCAGAAAAATGTGATTTTAAAGAATTAATTTAAAATTAAATGCAAAATCTCTTTTAAATACTTTTGGCATCACTTGTGGTAAAAGTGGCGGAAGTGATGACAATGTCGAGTGAATTCAAAACAATCTGTTTGGTCTCTTCTTTGACGCCAACGCTAATCACTTCACTGCCAGTGAATGTAAAACTCTTGAGTTGTGGTCTAATAGTGATTACATAATGTCTTGGAGTGACGGCTGACGGCAGGCGTCGGAACTCGGCTTTGGATCCGTTGCTCATTGTGTCCAACAATTAGTGCAAACAATAAGATCTAAAACAATGACTGTTTGACAAAAACATTACAAAAGTTTTTCAATGATATTATCATTAAATATAAAGTGAAATAAGTTTTGATAACTTCAAGACTGACCGCAAAATCAATACAATTAAGCGATGAATACAATGAGTGACCGATTGTTTCACACAAACAAATGTTTGGCAATAATTCACTCATAAATAACGCAAACATTTGATAAAAAACTTATCGTAAGCTTAATGTCGAGCGCCTATGCGTTCGCTTTCACTGCTAATACTTTTTATAGTTATGCAGTGAAGCCAACTCTAAAACTGTAACGATTTGTGGTTTTAAATTAAAACTTTTAATCGCGTTATCTATTCATTGTAAGAGCTGTTGAAACTTTGTTGTAATTAAAAGTTAAATAAAATTACAATTTAATTGCTAATTATTTGCGCAAACAATCAAATCTATATTTGAAACTATAACCATGGTACAATAGAAATACTAACCATGTCATTAGGACTGCTAATTGTACTTATGATAAATTTAAACACTATTTATTTAAATGTAGATAAAATTTTTAAAAAACAGTTTTATGCGAGAAATAATGGCCACAAACGACGAGACAGTGTTAGGGATTGTGTTATCGACGGGTATTGTGTCCGAAGAGGTGTCCAAATCTGGTTCATAGAGATTACGATTGACGCGCTTTTCTGTGACCCGAAGAATGTGTTTCTGGCGATCACTGAAACCGAAACACGACTTCGCGGACAATATCTGTACGATGGCGTCGGAGTCCGTCTCCAATTGGTCTCTCATTCTTGGATTCACTAAATCTTCGACTAAAATAAAGTCAATTTTGTCGAAAACATTGTATGGATTCGGTGTCGGAATCGCTGGCGCTTTAAAATCACATTCGGCTCTCTTTCTGACCCCATTTCCGCACTTTTCCCAACAGGTTCTTAACGAAGACAATGATTTCATACCATCGATGGTGTGTCAGAGATAATGATTACTTTTGCTTGTATTGATAGCAGTGTTAAAAGTGTGTAAAAACTGTTAATTTGTTGCAATTATTTAAATTACAACTAATTATATAACTAGTTTATTATCGCGTTTTAATAATGAATTTAATGAAATACTTAAATTGCATTAATTATCAAATAAAACTTCAATTCAATGGAAGTAATAATTTTTATTTTATCACAAATTAATTTTAATAAAAAATCAGATAAACATATTAATTATATATCGTGTGTCAGGCATAATAACATGACCTTGGTCAATGGGGGTGGTAAATACAGTACCTTGGTAATAATTAGTCTAATTAAAAAATCTAAAAATAATTATTTAGTATTTTGTTTTGCGTTGTTTTTAACTTTTGAAGACTTTTTACGATTAGTTTTAGGCGACAAACAATGGTTACGAATGAGTCCGTGTTTGGGATGATTGAGAGCCCGGTGTTGATAGAGTACAAGACTCACTCGCGAGGGACTCAATCGGTTGGGGTGTCGGAGACCAGTGGTCGCGTGTAACTCGTGTTTCGCGCACTCAAACAGTACGGACCGGTGGGAGAGTGCGATCGCCAGACCGCCCATCGATTTGTCTTCAAAACAGTATTCATTGTCGGAGAAATATTCCTCGGCTTCTTCGTTATCAGTCGACTCGACCCGTTGTCCGTCACTCTTAGCCAAACTATTGCGTCCATTGCTATCGACCGCCACTTCTGGGCGTGTTTTGCACTTTGAATCCCTTTTCTTACAGACCCTCGACTTGGCGTACATTCGCTTCAATTGTGTGAATTTATTGAGCACTTCAATGGTTCCGTTCGCTATCTTCTGGAACTGATGGCCAACACTACCGAACTCATCGAAACAGGCGATCGAATACATGGGCAATACGTGAAACTGTTCATCGATGGCGCCGGTAATGGTGTTATGTCTTCCGCCCCGGTATTTGCCGAGAGTGACGACAACAGTACAGCCGTTATTCATATTATGCAAGTCTTTGTGAGAGTGGGCGCAGAAGTCCAGACACGCGGTTACGCCACTGAATGGCCGCCCAATGCC